TGCAGGTGCTGCTGCTGCTGTAACTGTTCCTGCTGCAGGTCCTGCTGCTGCTGCTGTAACTGTTCCTGCTGCAGGTGCTGCTGCTGCTGTGACTGGTCCTGCTCTTGTAACAGTTTCTGCTGTTGCTGCCACAGTTGTTGCTCCTGCACTTGCTGCTCCTGTATTTGTTCCTGCCGTTGCATCAGCTGCAGCTGTGGTCTCAGCTGCCCAGGGGGCACAGGTTGGGGTGTTCCCTGCAGGTCCTTGTTTTGTTGAGGCAGCTGGCCTTGCCCATCTTGCTGCTGCAATTCTAGCTGCTGTCCTGACGGCTGGCTTTGTGTTTGCTGCTCTGGCTGCAGCTCTCGTTGCCATTCTGACTGTTGCAGTTGCAACTCCTGCTGTCCGGGCTGTGCTTCCTCAGCGAGTTCCCCGGCCCCCATCGGGGCTGAGCTTGTTGGCCGTGGTGGGCTGCCGTTCTTCTCCTGAGCCTCTTCTTCCTCTTGATTCTCACCCCCACCACTGCCACCTGTAGTGGAAATGGCAGGAAGCCAGGAGAGAAAGATCTACAGGCAGCTCTCGGGATCAGACCCCCATGACCTCCCCGTTTACCCTGCCCCATGGACAGCCACTCTAGGACACACTGTTGAGCTCTCAGCAGGGACCCAAAAGCACTGGGTCAAGTGGCCATGGCAGCGTGGCAGAAACTGAAATGCCCAGAGGTGTGGGGCTGGCTTAGAAATGTGCCCAAAGGACTGTGGGTCGCGTCACCCTGGACCCTGACTCTCTGACCTCTCCTCTGGGCCTTCCTCCACACAGCCTCCATGTTTAGATCTTGGCAGTGACAAGAGTCTGGGTGTCTGGGGCTCTCCAACACCATTCCCCGAGAAGTCTCTGGGGCTTAATTACCATCCAGTGGGAATCAGCGAACAAGCCACTCGGACAGCTAAGCCACAAGCCCACGCTGAACTCTGACCTCAGTTAGGGTCATGCCTTAAATAAGCGAGAACTTGCCTTCTCTGTAAATAATAAAGAATCTCTGTAAAGCTGCCTGGAAGTATTACCACAGGTGGTTTCTAAAAGTCCCTGAAGTGTCAGAGCACGAGGTTTCCAGCGGGAAGTCCTCAGGTCAGGGCCTAACTACCACTCCTCCTACAGCCTCAGAGGCCTCCCTGTCAGTAACAGCCTCAGGATACCCACACTTCCAGCTTCCTGGGTGAAGCCTCTAGAACCAGGCGGGTGCTCGACAAACCCCTCTCCCTGTGGGTTAGGAAATTAGTTTGCAAACTGACAGTTTGGAAATACCGAGGACACAACTAGCCCCGTGTGAAACAGCCTTGAGATGGGACGTGTTTGAGATTGTTAGTCTGGAACAGAAAGGACTAACTCCACACGCCCACGTTGTGACCGGCCAGTTATGTGACCTCTGGGAACCTGAGTTTCCCTGTCTGCAAAAGGAGATCGACCCTTCTCAGGGACCCAGCAAGAATTCGAGGGGTACAGGTGCGGCTCAGCATTGTGCAGGTGTACAGTAACCCCTGCCACCTACATGTCACTCCATTGTCACGTGTCACTCTGCACAATAGCCACGTGTTGTTTCTCGTTTCGAGCATTTATACTGTGTTCCCAGAAAGTCCAAAGAGGCTTGCTCCATTCCCAAGTCTGATTTCAACATTTATTTTTCCTACTGCCCCATATTTTTTTTTTTAAGATTTTATTTATTTATCAGAGAGAGAGAGAGAGAGAGAGCGCACAAGCAGGGGGAGCAGTAGGCAGAGGGAGAGGCAGGCTCCCTGTGGAGCAAGGAGCCTGATGCGGGACTCGATCCCAGGGCCCTGGGATCATGACCTGAGCCGAAGGCAGACGCTTAACCGACTGAGCCGCCCAGGCATCCCCCGCCTCATATTTTCAATTTTATAATGGAAAGCAGGGGTTTTATTTATAAAATTTATAAAATTTTGCTTTCTGGCCACTTTTCCAGGAGTATATTGATCTAATAAAACCACCTCTGAGAGCAGCAGGGACGCATCACGCCTCTGTTTGAGTCCTCACATTTCTAGCCCAGCATTTGGCCATGTGGCCAGTCCCGGCTTCTTGCAGCCACGTCAGCATTTTTAACAATGATGTTTTAGTAAACATTAAGTTCACCTGATGTGTATACCCTTGCAAGACTTTTCTCGGTCAAATATTTGAGCCGGAAGACCCCTCATTTCATCCACACATCCCCACCCAACCCCTCCAATTTCGTTGGTTCTTTTCATGCTGTTCAACCTTGAGCCAGCCCTCACTTAGTGCCCTCAAAGGACAGAGAGGGAAACTGGCTCCCAGGAGCATGACCACCATAGAAAGTTGGCCCAGAGTGGGTGCCAGAGGGAGAAGGCATCTTGGAAGGTTCTACAGGCCACATTTGGCTCTGGGCAAAAGGGGAGAAAGATGGATGGAAGCAGAGGTCAGGAAAAGTGGACAAGGTCAGAGAAGGCCACAGGAAAAAGAGAAGCCAGGGGGCCAATGCCTGGGGCACAAGGGAGAGAGCCCCTGATTTCAATCTGAGAACTTGAGTCTGGAGCCCGGGACAGGTAGGAGGGCAGTGGAGACTACGTGACCACTGGGGACACAGCAGCAGCTCCCAGCCAGCACACATCCGGGGTCCAGGGCATGGGCTGAGAATGTCTGCACTGTCGGGAGCCTGTCACCAGCAAAACCACAGCCTGACGGAGCCGCCTTAGAAAATCCTGAGGCAAACCTGCCAGTGTTACTCCAGGCAGCTGAAGTCAGCTGGTGTGAGAGGTTGCAGCCTGCCCTCCCCACCCGGAAACCACCAAGTGAGCGCCCTTGCAGACAGCAGGCTGCCCCGCACCCTACAGCCCCCTCTCTCTTGGCCACAGCAGGCCTGGGGCTCTATCAAAAGGTCCTCCCGGGGGCTGAGGACTATCTCCTGCTTTAGGTCAGAGCCACACCCCTCACAAGCCCCTCACCTGAGAGGGTGCCAGGCCCTGGGCCCCCATCTTCAAGACACCGAAGCTCCAGCACGAAGGTCTCAGTGGCTGCCCCCAGCTCCATCCTAGCGTTCAGACCAAGATCCCGGGGGGGCAGCTGTGCTGAGAGGAATGAGGAAGCTGTTCAGGTGGGCAGGAGTGCTGTGAGCCCCCCAGCCCCGTGGCACTGACTGCCAGAGAGCCCTCCATCTCCACCCAGGCTGGAAAGGAGGACGGTGCAATCCATAGCTGGGGAAGGGAGGCGCAGGGCTGCCTGGAGGCTCAGCTCCCAGGGCCCATTCATTCCCCCCTCCGCCCCCCCCCAGGGGCAGACCTTCCTGTCCCAACTTTGCAGGGCCCATGCTCAGCCCCAGGCTTAGGGGCTGCTGGTACATCTGCTCCTCACTGAGAGCTGACTGTGGGAACCGGCCTTCACTAGAGAGCTGGAGTCCCACAAGGGACATTTGAGGAAGTTTGCAGAAAAAGACACCTCACATTCCACCGCCCCCTTCAAAGCACTGACAAGTGTGTTCACCTCCCTGGTTTCTTGCCTCCCAGAGCACTGTTGGGGTTCACCCAGCCTTCCAAGGCCACAAGCAGGCCACAGGTTCCAGATGCCACCTCAGCTCCCTAGGAAGGCAGGTTTCCAGAGCACAACCCATGGAATCAGCTCTGGCCCAGGGGCTCCTGAAGTCTGGAAGGTTCCCCACCTCTCTCCTGCATCCACTCTGGCCCCTGCAGAAGTATCCCCACATCCAGTCCTGCCTCCCCTCCTAGCAGGATAACTCCAACTCCCCTTTGCAGAATCCAGTCCAGAGGCCCTCCAGAGAACGCCCCCCGCCCACCTCCCCGCTGGGCCCACCTGGTGCAGCATTTCCTGCTCTTCACAGCGGCCTCTGCGCTAGGGGAGGTGTGGTCAGCAGCGGCGGGAGAGTGCAGGCCGCTAGCTCCTTCCTGAGGCGCCTCCATCCAGAAAGAGCCGGGGAGGCGCTGGGCCACAGGGGGCCCTTCTGGGCACTGCGGCGGGCCTGTCGCTGTCAGGGCCGTCGAGGTCGCCCTGGGCCAAAAAAGGGGCAGAACGGAGTTCGCGAGCAGAAGTTGGTGTCAGCGGCCAGGGGAGGGGGGTGGGGAGGGG